ACTTAATTGGTTCAAACCATTGGGAGGTTGGAAAATGCATGTTTCAAGAGCAGCTTAGAGCTTGTAGACCCAATCCAAAGTTGCATACAATAGTTCTGTTTAGCAGGCCATAGGTTTTTATTTGTCCAAATAGAGACGTGAGCAAAACTCCATCTAATATAGGAGTAACTACCTACAAACTTTAACTAGTTCCAAAAAAGTTTTACAAAACCCTTCCATGCAAAATCTCTCCACTTTCCCAGGAATGTAGAGAACTCCATAAATTTCTATGTCAATACAATTATGTGATACCACGAGAAGTATGGCCAGCCAGTTCTAGCAACGTGTCTTGGGATCATCCAGCTGATCACAGATATCAGGCGATAATTGATATAGCATTGGAACAATATTATGGCATAGATATGCAAGCAGATATGGATGCTGCTGCTGCTTCGGATAAAGCTACCTCGTCCTCATCTCAAGAGACCCCGTCCTCATCCCAAGCCTCTCAGTCACAGAATTCATGGGGAGGACCATTATCGCAAAACCCATATGATTACAGTGAGTTACAACTAGCACTCAGTTTAGGCGATGACAAAGATAATCTATCACTGTAATTAGATAATTTTCCTCAGCCACATATGCCATCAAGTTCTGCTAATATTATCTCAAGTTCTGCAAACGTTCCAGAGTCTTCACGAAAAAAGCAAAAGTCTTCGGAACTTCATGAAGATGTGGACCTAGAGATTGCAGAAATTGAACGAATCCTCAGAGATTATATAAAACAAAAATACCGAGATAGTTCGGACAGCTCTGACGATGACAACACTGAAGAACCCATCTATAAATATGATCTCTGAAGCCTTATCAAGCGTGTTGAAAAAACCAACTCGTCATGTTTGAAAAACCAGCTCAATTTTTGGAAATCACTGTTCATGGATTGTTCGGCACTGTACATGTACAGTTCATACACTGTTCAGCACTGTTTGGCATTGTAGTAATATTGTGTCAAGAAGAAAAAATGTGCAAAAATGAAGAAAAACCGTCGTCTAAAGGTGTTTCAGTCGTCTGTAAAAGTCGTTTGTGACACTTTTCAGTCTTTATTGTCACTTGTTAGAATTTTCCTTGTCATCTGTCAGTTGTAAAAGCCTTATGATCGGTTGGCGAGTGTCAAATTATTGGTAATTTCCATAACTTCACCAATAATTGATCGTTTGTGTAGTCGTTTATAAAAATGTCTGTATTCGTGCCTATAAAAGACCGTGCCTGTAATATTTAGAGGCACGATATGCTCTCAGAAAGAAGCCTCGAGAAATAAAAATTGTGTTATGAATCCCTAAATCTTTGTTTCTACCTTTCTGCCTGGTATGATTCTCTAAACAAACGTACGTGTGCTGATTAGTCCTGGTAGTATGCTTTGCACTTGCCATGGTATGGAACCTGTGCATCAAAATTCTGCTACTATAAAGTAGTTCTAAGGTGCGAATCAAAATTCGAAGAGGGGCTTGATAGCTAAAAGGCAGTCCCTTTTATAAAGGCTTAGAGAGCCATTTGTGTGTGGGATAACATACCTGCCATAATCATTGTCTTCGTCTTCCCTGATTTGCATCTTAGTCCCTCTTTTTGGTAGTTGGCCATTCGGGAGGATAAAGAGATCGACACTCCCATCAAGGAACCATTGTTGGAGACGGCGTCATCTTCATATCCATTGGTCCCTAATCAAGAAAACCACCGAGAAGAAAAAGGAACGTGGAAGAAAAAAAAGAAACAAATAAAAAATTCTCAAATGAGCCTCACTTTTGACTCTTAGCGAGGGTAATATGGTTAATACACTGTAAAAGGGAGTGTGAGAGCTAAGAAATGAGTGGAAAAAGCGCGACCCTTTTTAAATTTTAGATTAATATCACTAAAACCTACAAACAGGTATATTTGTGATAAATTTACCTCAAATTCATTTTTTGACTATCAAAAACCCCAAACTAGTACACCGGTGATTAACTTACCTCTGTTAGTTTCTGTTAAATTTTACCGTCAAATTTCTGAGTTGGATAACATATGGCAGTTGATGAGTGTACTGGTTTGGGTTTTACCCTCCGTTTTTCATAGCTGTACCGGTTTGTGATTTTTCGTGATATTAATCTAATTTAACGGAAGATAAATTTATCACAAATATACCAGTTTTGAGGTTTTTTGTGTTAAATGAATTAATTTTGGATAAATTTATCACAGGTGTACCAGTTTGAGGTTTTTTGTGGTAAAAAAATTAGTTTGGGATAAATCCAATTTGGAGTTTTTAGTGTTATTAACCCTTTTTATTTTTTGTCGAATAATGGGGGAGGCTTTGCTAACATAACACAGTTTTTGGGCCAATGTGAGAATAACGGTATGTCATAAGCCATAAATTGTTGATAGAGTGGATTTCACAACAATTTATAATTATTTGTTATTTTTTTTGTGATCCAGAATACGTTATTATTCTCACATTAAATTAAGGTTTGTCACTTAATCATTTCTCGAGAAAATATTGCATGCTCCTGAAGCTCCACGTCAACCACACTTCGCTCAACTCCACCCCGCTCCAATTATGTATCGCCACGTGTTCGAGTGGCGCCCACTTTTTAGATTTACTCTCTCTCCTCCACGTCCTCCTTACCCCCAGTCTTTTTTCTCTCACTCTTTTCTTTGGCTTACTTTTTGTCGTTTAAGGCCACGGACGACATGGGCTCGAGGCTAGCCATGCACAGCTAGCGTTACCGGCCATCAACGTTGCGGCCGCCGTCAGCACGTTCGACCAGAGCTGGTAAGCTTTTGGAGAGTGAGCTGGCCAAATTTTGGATGAACGGCTCGCGAGCATCGCCGTCGACGTCGTTCAGCCAGATTTGATCGGCATTTGGAGACTCGGATGGGATTTTCGGTGTTTCCGTTATGGCATAGAGAGTAAGTTATAGTGACGGAGTTTGTTGTTGGTGCGTTTTTTAAATCCGGGAAAAACTAAAACAGATGTTAGCAAATTGCGATGGCCATGGACGAGCTCTGGTTTTTTCGTGCAATTGAGATCCAAACGTGTAGAAGAAGAATATCATCAAAGGAGGGGAGAGAGAGTTCTCGGAGAATTTATTTTTTTTTTTGTCAATGTGCTCAGAAGGATGAGAGAAGAGAGAAACTGAGCAGAAAGGGTATATTCGAAAAGTGAGCCTACTCCAATACGTGGCAATAAATGAGTGGAGCAAAGCATGGCTGACCCTTTATAAGGCTTGAAGTTTCTTTTTTTTTAAAAAAAATCATTTTCAATTAAATACTAAAAAATTTACTTATAATCAATTTTAAGAATAATTAAGTTGTTGAACCTTAGAATAAAAAATGCCTTTACTCTGATGTTATTAATAAATGTTGCGGTAATAAATTTTTATTTGTAAGTCATCATTGATCACAATTTAATGGGAACTTAGAATTTTACATCGCATAGTTCATTTTCTTATATTGTTAGCTTTAACGAATGATGTTTGGCTAGCGTCGCCTGCTTTCTAGAGAGGGAAAAAACCTTCACAAAAATCACAAACTATAACCATTATAACATATTTATTCTCCCGTCCAAAATTGCTTTAAAAAAGATGACTTGGACCGTGCATCTTCTTCCATCGATTGGTCGAACTCCACCGGCGCTCTTGCTTCATTGCCCACTGCTGCTACCTGGACATCTGGCGGCGCTCATCGGCACTTGCCCGACAACCCGGCAAGCTTCGAAGGTTGAGGTCAGACCCTCAAGCCAAGCTTTGAGCTCGAGCGGCCGTGGCGGCTGCGAGCTTCGAAGCTAGACCTTCAAGCTGCTTCGAAGCTTGGCCATGGCAGCTTGCGACCCACCCACGAGCTTCGAAGGTGGAGGTCAGACCCTCGAGCCCAGCTTCAAGCTCAAGTGGCCATGGCGGTACGAGAGGTTACCCGGAGATTTGAGAGCTATGCGAAGTGCTGTTCATCCTCGCCAGAAAAGAAGATGAACCGTGCCAAATTCCTATGTCATTGAGTGTCCTTGATTGTATTGCTCTGAAGCTACACTGCAATGCAACACATCTCTCCAAAGGCAATAAAAAAATTGCTGAAGAGGACTTCATGAGCAGTCATCTGTATGCGTAGCCCAGCCTTTCTTTCCCCTAGTTCTGGTACAACACCTATCCACATTCTCAGCTGCAAGAGCGTCTGACCTCTAAAGGTATTATTCTCTTCTTCCGTTGAAGCCCAATATCCCTATCTTGACTGATTATTTCAAGCGATATAAATAATCATATTAGATCATTCATTTTAAGCGAAACAAAAGTAGCATTATTTTCGATTATTCCTTCTCAAGTGAGTAATGCAATCTCTAAAGTATTCTGTACTTCCATTGAAGACCAATATCCCTATCTTGACAATGGTCTCTTCGATGGACATGGACATGACAGAGAGAGAGCGAGAGATTTCCACAAGATCTCTATTGATGGTTTGCCATGTATTTTGCTTGGATTTTATTGCAGTCTCAAAACTCATTAACAGGCAAATTGTCTAGGTATAGCTGTCCGCTTCGCCACTGCAAACTTCAAAGATTCTAGCACGAAGAGAATCATCGCACGCTTCAAGTCTGAGCGCACGGAGCTTAAGTTTTAATCGATACTCGATAGTGTATACATCAGTAGATACTGAGAGGAAAAGGAGTTCATTACTGATAGCTGCCCTTGGAGGAGCAAAGGAGCTCTCTAGGACCAGGACATGCTGCATGAACATAATGCATCTTGAACTTTCCGACTCTTAACAGCTGAAGAGTACAATTAAGTAGAAGCAAGACTGAATCAAATGAGTAGATGTCAGAAGTTGAGACTTTAGAGTTTCCATTATTACTATTTTTTGAGGAAATGGTTCCAAAAATTGGTTCCTCGACGAGCCACGGAGCTTCTGCCGGCTGAATTTAGGCCCTGCATAACCACGATGTAGACCACGATTAATGATTTGTTCGATAAAGCTTTTGTGATGGCGAAATGAACCGCGAAGGATTAAAAAAGGGTCACATACTGTTGGTATTGTATGTTGATATCGCCAGCATTGGGATCTGCTATTGATGCAAATGCTTCTTGCGAGAAATCAATCGTTCCCCGACACAAATTGGGCAGGCAGCGGTCCACAATCTTCACCACCACGGTCCCGCTTCCGTAGCATGGCATCGGAACGCCTTGGTTCCTCGCACCGACGCACTTGACTTGGTAGTATTGGCCACAAGCTCCACCGTCGTTCCAAAGTGCTTTGCTCGCCGCACCTATCATCATCCCTTGGTCTTCGAATCCATAACAAGCGGAGGCTGCAGAATTTGAATTGAACCACATCGAAGAGATGCACAGACAGACTCCCATCACTTGGTATGCTCATGACAAGATAGAGAAGCGAATGCTTACGCTGGTACGGTGGAGTGTAGAACGTACCGATCCCGTTACTCTGAGCGGTGGCTGTGAAGAACATGGAGGTGAACCATAAACATGTCACGATGCGCAAAACGTTCGTAGCTGGCAGTGCCATTGTCTCTGCAGGTCTTAATATTAATGGTATGAATGTTTAATTTCTGTGCTGATGTGAATTCATTTGACAAGGGGTCTTATTTATAAGTCAGCATTCTCACCTAGTTTCACAGGGATTCGGTCGAATCATATTGTAAGTTCATTTACAAAGTTGCAGAAATTAATAATAGAGAATTGAGTGTTTTCCAACGATAGACGGCCATGCAAGCAGACCTCGAGGGTTTCACATTGCTGCATATGCCCTGACATATCCCTCTGCATCACAAAGCTTCCAAAGCTCCCGAGTTCTAAGGAGCTTCACTCGTTGCTTATAGCAAAGAAGAATGAAAAATGGGATTTTGAAATGATTACCAATTTGGGTTCAACAAATCAACTGGTTTGGATATAACTGTGGGCTAGATACCATTTGGATGCAGAGAGATAAGAAGCTGTAGAAGCCATCCTATACCAATACTATAGAAGGCATGCAGATCAATTACTAAGATCAATTGCAATTTTTACTAAGTTATGTCAAGGAGTGTCTATGAGATGGTGCCAAGGGACACTTGTTAAGAGTATTTAGTAAATTAATATTTGACATGCAAAGTATTCATTTGTCACTTAACAAATTAGTACATTAATTAAGACCAACAAAAAAATCAGTACATTAAGGCCCGAGCCTCACTGCCCTCTGGCGACGCTCGAGCTCGTCTGTGGCTAATTGCTAGCATTCACCGTGGCCAGCGACCAGCTTGAGAAGAAGGTAAAAAAAAAAAAAGAAAGAAAAGAAAAAAAGAAAAGAAAAGAAAATAGATCATTAAAAAAATAATTAAAAATCAATTTTTAAAAAATAAAAAATTATTAAAAGTAGTGTATGGAGGAAAACCTGATTTAATTTTCCATACCAAATGGCATAAAATATTTTCCAAGTCTTTTTTCAAATTTCAATCAAATATCGGAAAATTGCGTCATTTTCTTAGAAAATGGCTTCTTGAAAAGTATTTTTCAGAAACATTACATTTTCCGTGAAACCAAGGGAGCCTTAAAGTTCATATTCATACATTCACAAAATATGAAGTCTTGTCCACTGCATCAGGTACATGACACCCAGCTCAGCCACAGAGCATTGCCATTTCTTACACAAGCCAAATGATCAACAACAAGCAATCCAAACATGCAGAAAGCACTGAGATCAATCCTCTGCGAACCCCAAGCAAGACAAATGAAATGTAATAGAATAAGAAGGAGAAGAAAAGGAAATGATATCCAAGAGCTTTAACTTAAAAGAGATCCAGTTCAAGTATTACAGACATGGAAGGACAGTAGACAGTGGACATGAAAGCATCACAGTTCTAATTCTGTGGAGTAACTTTTCATTTGGTAATACGAGCTTTTCGCTCAGCAACTGCTCTCTCCAGCTTGCTAATCCGAGCTTCGAGATCAGCCACTAGCATTTCATACGTTAAACACTCACTGCTTTCTCCCGTATTTTCGTCGGCTAAACCTCCTTCGGTAAATCTCTGCCCCACTTCATTTGTGTCTTCCTCATTGTCTCTTTGAGCTCCTCCAGCAGCAGTAGCGTGGGGCCTGTTTATCTCCACAGGTTCCATTGGTGACCCTCCCATTTCAATGTCAGTTTTCTCCACATTCTTTACGTAGGAACTTTGTGTTTGATGAATCCCTGAGCAATCGTCGCAGTCGCCAACCGAGCAGTTCTTGGCAGCACTTCTTCGCCTTTTGGACCTCAACAGTTCCCCCAGAGTTAGCCTGTCATCATTTTCGTTGGAGTCACCCGTGTCAACGCTTAAACTTTTCGGCTGAAAACCGGGAGGAACCAGGTCATCATTAACTCCCGACCTTCCTTTTAAACCCTGCATCGATCTATTTGAACTCCTTGAAGCCCACCACTCAGCATAGCGAGCTGTTATGCACGGTTCGTAAAGCCTGGCTGGAATGTACAACTGCACATCTTGGAGTGACTTGCTGTAGTTGTCCCAAGCAATCTCGGGGTCCTGGTTGCAGGGAGCAACACGGCCAGGCATATCTTGATCCATCCCAAATTGCATGGCCACTCGATGAGGCGAGTACTTCTCAACAAAATTCAGCCCAGGCAACTCACGAGCCATCAAGCAGCGAGCGAATGACCTCAGTTCCCCATCAGCGTCCTCCTCCAGCGACACCCAGTTCTCTTTCTCACCATAAAATGCATAGGATGCTGAGTCATTCACGACCAAGCTGTAGGGACGCCATTTAAGCTGCAATCCGGCTTCGCCCATCATGGAATGCACATTGTGAAGGTTCAATTTTGGTGATTTGTGCCATCGACCCAACCTAGGCTCCCCTGGCTGAACCTCTCTAGGATTTGGCCTGATGGGGGTTGCAAACCTCTCCCAAGCCCATACTTGAACCAAAGCAAACTGCGCCCACAATTTCAGATCAATCGAATCCGATTCATTTCCATCCTTCAACCTGGGAACTAGTCCATCTAAAATATTCTTCAGCCTCCTTAACTCTCTATAAATACGAGCTAAAACAGCAGGCGCAAGGGCGATCCTCACACCTCTAGCCAGACCTATGGCCATCGGCAGTACCCTCTTAGAGATCACATTGCCAGGGCGCGGGAACACATACCTCGACAGCCAAAACGCGAGGAAGGCATCGTGCTCAATATCGCTCCCAGTGTCCCTAAACTTCTCCATCCACTTGCAGCTGTCCGCCTTCTTCGCTGTGGTCTTTGATATCTCGGATATCGCTCGCTTCAGCTTCTTCAGCTTCATCTCAACCTCCAGCGACTGGTCCCTGAGATGGCTCAAAACAGGGGACGATCCCCAAACAGAGTAACCCCCTAAGACCATCACGTCCTCGAGCGTGATGGTGGCCTCGCCCCAGGGAAAAACGAAGGTGTTTGTGCCGGGACACCAATTCTGAGCGAGCCCGAGGACTAAACGAGTGTGCTTATGGATCAAGAATGTCGAACACTTGATGGCATCGTAAATGCCAGCTCTTTTCCATATGAGCTCGTACATGGACTCCATGCGATCGACCCATGCGGTCCAGCTATTGGTCGGGCGACGCCAGTTGTTGAACCTGATGTTGATCGGCAAGTTCTCCGGCGGCGACAAGGTGGAAACGAGCGGAGGAGGGTCGGGCTCCGTCGCTGTGGGTTTGAGAAAGTGACCCGTTCTTAGGGCCGGGTGGGCGTCTCTGTTGGGGGAGAGCATGAGCTCTTTCCTCTCTTCGACTATGAAGATGGGCTTGCTCTCCATGGTTTCGAAAGCGGCAACGGAGGACCAAGATGGCAGAGAAAGCTCAAAATGGTTAGAAGAAGAAGAAGAAGGAGAGACGCAGGTGAGAAGGAGGATTCGCAGGTGAGTTGAAAGTGTTGTAACTCGGACTCTTCTACGACTCTTCGCTTCCAATCCTACGATGCCTCCTTTTAAGAAAAAAAATCGCAAAAAATCTCTAACTATGCCCGACACATTTATTTCAAATTTTATTTTTATTATATTAAAAATTTCAAATTATATCTATTATGATAAAAACAATATCATTTTTATATCACTTGATATACGTGGACACCACGTTAATACTATTTACTTCTTTTTTTTTGTTTTTTTTTTATAACCCAGGAACCCCCGCACGGCCGACAGCCGGAGGGGTAAATCTGGGGTGACGCTAGGTCAGGACCCACCACCACGGCGCCACACTTAAGAATCCCTAACGACTAGGCTGGGGTTTGAACTCCGATCCCTTCGTGGGGGACAAGAGCGCAAGCCAACGCAGCCGCTGCGGGCGGTGGTTAATACTATTTACTTTCCGACGTCTTTATAAGTAAATTTTTAATGGTTCTTATTAACGGAATTTTGATGAAGGATGTGTCATACAATTACATGTTTGGTATGTTTTGTGTCACAGAAAAAAATTTATAATAAAGTATCGCGGTAGACATAATTTAGAGTGTTCGATGGCTTTTGTCCTTGTTTTAAAAGAAAAGGTCTCCACTTCCATGTTATCATCCAATGTTATGATGATGATGATGATTCTCTTCTAATCCATCATTGATCGCAATTTAACGAGAACTTAGAATGACATCGCAGCATTGTGTCAGCCGAAATAAACGATAATTTAGCCAACTTCGCTTGCTATTTAAAAGAATGTCGGAAATACCAAAAAAAATTAAATTTATGTTAAAAGATGAAATATCATCTGTCTATAGAGCCATTATATTCTAGTTTTAAGGGGGAGTGATATGCATCCGCCCTATATCTTTTCCAGTAACTTTACATAAGAGTTGACTTGGAGGTCCTCACCGAAAGGCGCGAGATGTGTCACGCCGTCAATTAATGTTGGAAACACGTTGGAAACGAAAAAGGGAACAAAGCTAAAATGAAGAAAGATCTCTGAAGTATTCTACACTTCCATTTGAAGTCCTCTGTCCCCATCTTGATGATGGACTCATCGATGGACATGGACATAAAAAGAGAAAGAGACAAAAGTAATTTTCACAAGTCTCATTTGGAATAAGCACTTAAAGTATGTAGATATGTACCGGCAAATCGTCAAATGGTCTAGGTATAGCTGCTTGCTTGGCTGCAAACGTCGAAGATTGAAGATTCTAGCACGAGGAGAATCGTCGCATGCTTCGAGCCCGAGCTCGCGGAGCTAATGCTTAAATCGGTAGTGTGCACACAATAGATATTGGGACGAAAAGGAGTTCATTACTAATAGCAGTCCCTGGAGGAGCGAAGGAGCTATCTGGGCCCAGGACATGCTGCATCAACATAATGCATCTTGAACTTTCCAACTCTAACAGCTAACGAGTACAATTAAGTAGAAGCGAGACTGAACCAGATGAAGAGATGCCAGAACTCGAGACTTTGGAGACTCCATCATTACTACTACTATTATGAAGATGGTTCCAAATATTAGTTCCTCGACGAGCCGTGGAGCAATTGCGACCGTTGAATTTAGGCCCTGCATAACCACGGTTCAGACCATGATGAATGATTAGTACGATAAAATTTTTAGGATGTCGAAGCGAACCACAAAGGGTTAAAAAAGATTACATACAGTTGGTACTGTATGTTGATATCGCCATCGTTAGGATCTGCTATTGATGCAAATGCTTCTTGCGACAAATCGATAGTTCCCTGACAAGAATTGGGCGGGCAGAGGTCCACAATCTTCACCACCACGGTCTCGCTTCCGCGGCATTGCATCAGAACGCCTTGGTTCCTGGCGCCGGCACACCTGACTTGGTAGTATTAGCCACAAGCTGCATCGTTGTTCCAAAGTGCTTTGCTAGCCGCCGCTATCATCACCCCTTGGTCTTCAAATCCATAGCAAGCAGAGGCTGCAGTGTACGAATTGAACCAGACACGAGATGCACAGACAGACTCACATCACTCGGTATGCTCACGACAAGATTTAGAAGTGAACAAATACAGAGAAGCAAATGCTTATGCTGGTACAGTGGAGTGTAGAAGGTACCGATCCCGTTACTCTGAGCGGTGGCGGTGAAGAACATCGACATGAACCATAAACATGTCATGACGCGCAAAATGTGGGTAGCTTGCGGTGCCATTGTCTCTGTCTGTGTTAATAGAGCGCCACGAGATGTTAAAGGTATGTTTGCTTATTTTCAGTGCTAATGTGAATTGATACGAGAAGGGGTCTTATTTATAAGTCAGCAGGTCACCTAGTTTCACAGAAATTCGGTCACTATCACATTGTAAATTCATGTAGAAAGTTGCAAATATCAATGACAGACGGCCATGCAAGCAGGCCTTGAGGGTTTCACATGCCGCATATGCCCTGCCATATCCCTCTGCATCACAGAGCTTCCAAAGCGTCCAAGTTTCCATGCATGGTAATGCTAACCCATGAGCTCAAGTCGTTGCTTAAAAGCAGATAAAAATGAAAGATGGGATTCTGCAACGACAACCATGACAATTGCAACGTGGGTTCAACAAAACAACGTTTGTCAACTGGTTTAGATCGAACCACAGGCTGGATAACATTTGGATGCAGAGATGAGAGTTTCACTTCATTTTTCACCGAATAAGATTCATGGGGAATTATGGAAGAAGCTGAAGTCGGGCACTGTCATGTTCAGGTAATCCAATTGATGACCACGGTTTCGTACGTCACATTACAAGCCTAGACAGAATTTAGTGGTTGATCCCCCAAAAGATGTAGTGAAGCCGACAAGATTAGAGCATTGTGTTTCCATGATATTGCAGCAATCGCACCACATGACTTCCACAGAAGGCCAGCAACTATATGACAGAGGAAAGTCAAATTAACATTATGGCATGATTGCTCTCCAAGAGAAGATGTATGGGTCTTGGTAATAGCTTCTGGATCAGGATTCAAATCAGTATTGATGGACCTGGTGGCCTATTAGGCCTGATTAAGCTCAATTGGTCTGAAGAGCAAAACAGAGGTGCGAACAAGTAATTTCCTTCCGAGACTCGGCTCACCTGGTCTGCTACATTAAGCCCAGTCTGCCGTTGAAGCGATGCGAAAACAACTCTTAACAAAAATTAGATGTACAATAGGTGCATTATAGGATTCGATTGAGAAGCTTACAAATTACTAGGTGTAGGAAGTAGACTTACACATAAAGCCATGAGAAGTCCCATAAGCAAGCAAATTTGGGATAACTTTAACATCACTATTATTAATGGTCCTTATGACAGGATTTAGAAGTTCAATCTCGACACATAGATGAGGAACATTCATTATCCAATGGTAAAACTAAGATATATAAAGAAAGGCCGTAGCTTTATGCAGAGGCATCTTGAATTGACATGTCCTTGAATAATCGCACTAAATATATATACTTAATCTCATTTTATATTGATCAACTGAAAAACCAATTAAAATTCCTCTTGTTCAAAACTATGGAGAGGCTGAGCCGGAGGCTGGCTAGAGAGGCCATACCGGCAGCGACCATCTTAACATGGGGCCGGTGGGGAGTGCTAGTCAAAGCAAGCTGTGAAAAGAACTCCTTCCCTTATTGAGTACTCGATCACGTCCAATTTGCCGACTAATTCTCCCGCAGGCTCAGCATACCGGACGACTGGATTGTGGTGCATACCGAGCTTGGCGGTGTCATTAAGCCAACTAAGGCAGCGTCCATGGTTTAAGCACTAGCATTTCAAAAGGAAGCGGTGTTAAGGGACATGATGGAAGTGAAGGATTTTAGGAGAGATGGAAGTGAGAGCAGGCATAGTGGTCTGTACCGCCAAGGGTGACAATTTCTGGTGCAGGAAATGTGTTGGTCAGTGTTGGGGATTGGACCTGGAAGCTGGTTCATTCAGTTGCTGGGCTCAAATCGCAAATTCAACCCCTGGACATCACAGTGAGTTATTGGAGCACCGTGGAGGGTCACGAGGAGATATTTGCCAGTGGGGGCGACGTTCTTGAGCTATGGGGATGTGGGCATATACAGGATGCCGTCCATGGAGTTCCCGGGGCTGATCAAGATTATACTGGACCAAGGATGCCCGTGCAGTCCGGATAAAAGGCATTGGAGGCCTGAGACAGACTTGGATTCCTGAAGGGTGGTTTGAAGGGAAATTTCTGGGACGGGTGAATGGCTGTGACGAGGATTATGGAGAGTTCAGGGAGGATATGGCTATAGGTGGTTGGTTTTCGCGTCACGGGCTCAAGATGGCTCCGGTGGTATAGAAGATATATATTGGCAGACATCGCACTCGGCAGGCATGCAGATAGGGTGGAGCTCAGCCATTTTTGGGTTGGAAGGTTTGAAGAGAATCCGTTGTGAAGGAACAAAAGCCAGTTCTCTCTATGTTCAGACTCATAATCTGTGATCTGATCTTTGGTTTCTGATGATTTATTAGCTCAACCATGCGCCATCAACATGAACCGATATCTGAACCTCGAGTTGGATTTCCTTTCGGTATGGATAACGAGTAAAACAATGGGCCTTCAAACGGTTCAATTTCTGCATCTCGAGGGAAGGAGCAAACGTCAGCAATCGTATCGATGGCGCAATTAGATGAAGTGGGCGAACGTCAGCAATGGTATCGATAGCGCAATTAGATGAAGTGAGGCACGGAACTGATACAGGAAGCTGAAGATTGGGTAGAGATGCAGGAAGAGATAGCATGAAGAGAAAAGCTGAAGCCTTTTGTCAGCAAATCATCCAGAGTTGGATCACTACAAGCAGGCCACCGCAACTAGGGAAGGAAACCTTAGAAACTGGTTAAATTTCTGGGGTAAAGACTAGATAATGAGATTTGTTTATGTTCTTTTACGTTCAGATTTAGCTATTAGAACTCTAGTTGTGATTATGCATAAGTATTGGACTACTGTTTTCATTTTTTATCCCCTGGGTCAATCAAATTGAATGCATCGTATATATCATTCACACGACTCTTCAATCAAAGGAAGAAAATTTTTGCTCACAACATCAAAGGAAGACATTGCAAAATACGATACCGTAAATTTTCTAGTTAATCAAACTGAAACTTCTTGCTTGTAAAGTGGATGGCAGCTGGAAATACATTAGGCTTCCTTCAGGTTGGATTGACAATTCCTGCAGAATGCTATGTTCGGACTGATAATCACCTCATGACAATGCATCCGATGAGCATGGCCAATGAACAATGGAAGGAAACTTCGAGTGAGCCGAAATGCTGTTGCCATATAACATCACCAGAATCACAATAACATGACTAGCATTGAGCTGGTGTCAACATCTATCGAGAAAAGGAAACAAAGGACAACATCATCACATTCTTCATGTTCAACAAGAGACAAAGATGCCAATCTGCACAAGTCAGGTGAGATCAAGCCATGAAGTCATGGAAGGAACAAGAAATGCCATCGGCATCTATTTTAGCACAATACTTGTTGAAGAGCCTGTGATAGTCGGACGCAGCACATCACTCGGAGAGGAAGCATCATGCGCTCCCTGCGCTATCTAACATGCTCCACAATTTGACAACAATAATTGATTCATATAAAATCTAGCAAATGTACCCAATACCTAATAGCAACACCAAACCTGACCTCAGAAAAAAGAACGCGAATCATGGTTGAAGCCAAAACTCATCAAGATCCAGCTGATTTCACCCTCTAAACAAAAACATAGAAAGCATAAAAAACGGCTCGATTATGCATACGGGAAATGCACGGTTCAAATTGGAACTTAATTTAACAAAAGAAAGCATGGAAAGATCCGCCTAAATAAGCAGGCTCTAACAAATGAAAGTACCCCTTGCAAGAGCTTGAAGTGCAAAAAAAACCGAGTCCATCTCACTTGGCAACAGAGAAGGATCTCTCCCAGACAAATGAACCCCCGAATGTATCATCCAAAGCACATCCCTCAGACCAAAAGATTCGCCAGGGAAACATAAGTCCTATCAACACCGATCATGGGGATCCGAAAAAAACTGGCGACCTCGGACATCTAAAAGGAATTTCAAGCAATTCGTTCGTTACGAAGGAAAAATCGAATGCGATGACCAGAAAGGGTAAGAACAAAAACATTAATAAGGACCATGATATCAAAAGCAAAATCTCCTCAGGAAACTAAAGGGATTTGATCATCGAGAGGGGTCAGCCCACTACTTTAATTTCAACGCTCCTCACAGGGGATGCAATGATCCAGAGATATCAAGATAAAGCCTTTGCAATCTGAAAACCCTTCGAGTGCATTCCACATCGGTGCAACTAAGCAACAAAAATGCCATCCCTCGGAAGCTTAGATTCATCAGATAAAAGTCAGCCCACTACTTTTATGACGAAAAAACCGAATCGTCATGGGGATGATAGACTGGGGCGAAACCCGATTGCGATCGCGAGAGAAAGAAGAAGGGAAGAAACGAAAGACGCTCTGCGGAATCGCCATCGGAGCAGGACCTGAGCTTATCAGGCCCCAAAAAAGAGGGACGATGGCAGAGAGATCTGCATCGCGATCTCATACTTACTCGCTCGTATTTGAGGACGACTGAGGAAGTGGAGAAAGAAGAAGAAGAAGAAAGATGAAAAGACCAACAAAAAAAGAAGAAGAGAGATTCGCATCGCACGAGAGCTTCGCCCTCGTGGAAGAACTTCGCTACTTCATCGTCAGGGCATGACGAGAAGCGCCATTGCTGGCTTTCGGCAGAAGCGGCGAGCTCAGGCTGCTCGGACGCTAGGGTGAGGAAGAAGACGACGCCTTCGTGCGTTCTCTCGGTCTCGGACCCGAGATAGCGAGCGCAGAGCGCGGTTTTTATTGGGTCCGAGATCAACCGCGTAACCGTAGCTTTTTACGTAATTTTTCTCGATTAATTTATTTTATTTCGGAAAATTTAATTAATTAGAAATTATTTCTTTAAATGATCGCAAACGTAAATGAATAAAAAATATTTTTATCGCTCGTGAAAATATTTAGATAAATATTGTTATCGATGATGAATCATCATCATCAGTACTCCCTTTTGGCCATGCCTCAGGCCACCTCGGTCATTCACTGTCGGTCCTTCCAACCCCAGCAGTCCCCTACGAGCCAATCCGATAGCTTCGACATTATCGAACGGAGCCTCGCCGCTCCGACGACTTTCATGGTGAAGTGGAAAGAGCAATCAGCAAGCGCAGAAGTAGGGAAGAAACGCGTGCCCCCTTATTTTTCGGTTTTCCAAATTTCACATATCTTATTCGGGTATATCCCACTTCCAAGGTGGGATATTTTTCATGGAATCATATCCAAGCTATATCCAGTCATATTCAAATTTCGCATCACTCCAAACACCGATAAGAATAAAAGTTATCCTATCCAGAATTGTATTCGGCCCATCAAACGCACCCCCATAGTACATGAGATGTATCAAAGATATGTTCGAGAAGTAAATTTTCCAATTAATCGATTCTTCTGGTCGGACAAATAATTGATTTTACATGTTGGACCAAATACACTTTCTTTATAATTCTTAAAAATTCGAGTTAACATTTTAAAAATAAGCCAAAATGAACGGGCCCCATGTGGGCCCGTTCATCTGGACCCTTGCCTCGTGGCCCACGATCGAACTACCCACCCACCGACGGAAGAGAAAGTGGGGCCCGGCGAAGTTAACCTCGGAGCTCACGGCCGTGAAAACAGCCTCTCGACATTTCTCCTCCTTCGTCTTCATCGTTGTTCCGAGCTTCACCTAATTCAGCTCCACAGCAGCAGCAGCGGAGCCATGGAATCGCAGACGTGGAAGCTGTTGCTCTCCCTTTCTCTCCTGCCGTCGTTCCTCCTCGTCCCCGGAGCCAGAGGCTGGACCGGCGAAATCCGCGGCCGGGTCGTCTGCGACGTCTGCGGCGACTCTTCCATCGGACCCGAAGATCACGTCCTCCAAGGTCTCTCTCTCTCTCTCTCTCTCGGGCGCGCGCGCGCGCGCCCGTTGATAAGCGAATTGCTGCTGTGTATGGGGAAATTGAATCCGCATGATCTTTGCGCCCGCCGTGCCTAGTTGATCATGGACAACGTGTGTTGCCTATCCTCTCTGCGAAACGGGTGTAATTTCGTGTTTGATGATGGCCCGTGCGATTGTTTCGATAGAATAGCTTTGAGCTGCGCGCTTGTCGATGGAGCGAGTCACTGCGGTTCATAGTGCTCGACCATGGCGAATCTGCTGGCGGGATTGCCGTATTCTCACGGAATCGATCAGAATTTGCCCGGATGGTTTTTGCTGTCTCCAAGAACAATGACTGGAGATGAATCGATTACTGGCCCACGTTAAGTGGAGAAGAAGCACCTTGTAATTTGTCCTCGGGCGAATAGAATAAAGGCAACGGTGGCACCATTTGGCGTAGAGAATACTAGGTCTAGCGCTTCCACACCCATTTGCAGCTATTATGTGGTAATATAGCACAGTTGTTGTCATGGTTAGTGTTATACTATCGTTATATATTTTGGGTCAGTCACAATTAGCATCATTTATCTGTGTCATTCTCAATTTTCATCCTTACTAAAACACGAGGCAGGACAATGTTGAGCTTGCAGGAGGCTTGATTATCCTGAAGGTTATCGAGCTACAAGTTCTTTCTCGAAATTATTTTATATCACCCTTAATCTGCTTTTTAGTTTGGAGTGTAAGGCTTCTTGTTAGATTGCTTATGACTGGAAGGATAGGTTAATGCAATCTGACGAGTAGTGGAGGTTGCTTTATCTGCGGTCATTGTGCTCCAGCATAGCTCATCTTCCAATTGGAGGTCGTGATGTTCATGATGATCATACAAGCAAGAGCTCAAAATGAGGTTTACTTGTTCGTAGAGATGATGATTTAGTGTATGCACACTTTGAGATGTTGAAAATGTAAGAACCTGATTGGCCGGTGCTGAAGGTCGAGGTATTCGCGGACCAATTGCTCATGTTTGCTTCAATCAGTGAGATATGAGTGCGGAAAAGGCCTGGCATTCGGAGGGTCAAGGCCTTTTCTTCTTCTTTTCCAATATTTTGATGAAATTTGTTGGATAGAAGAGAAGACCTTACCATATGCTTTTTGCCCTTTATGATGGAGGAGCGTCAGTTGTTTGGCATTGAAGAAAGAAATTAGAGGTTATGGGAAGAACTAAATTTGATGGAAGAGAGATGCGTGTGAGGACATTCACATCTCAGGGATTTTGCAAGACATCGGTGAGAGTGCCTACCATGACAACATTATAGGGCATAAGATGGGTGACCCACTGGCTGGGGTGAAAGCCCGTCGGTCAAGTTTTTGCTATGAGACACTCAATAACGGCAGTAACTGAGGTGTCCTCCACTGCCGCAAAGGTTTCTAGATTCTAGGTTGTTACATGGTGGGAATGGGGCTTATTCTTCTTTTTATGTAGCACAATCAAATGAGATGGACTTCATTAACAAATATTTGGTCATTTCTGATAAATTGCAATTCGTTACATGGATATCTGTTAAAATTACGAGATTCAATATTTTGGCCGTCTGACAATTTTTATGCTGGTTACTTAGGGGTATACTCTAGTTAATCATGTAAGGTCCATTCTTGTCTTAAGTTGTGAGAGCCACTAGAGACCATTATGCAGTGAAATTTCATTTGTATGACCATGACTACTTTGTTGATTATTGAAAATACAGTGACTTTGGCGGTTGCATTTGATACACAATCGTTTAGTTCAGAGGAAGCATGGCTATTGACTTTCCGATCATTCTTGTTATAGTTTTTTCTCACTTAGGTAGGTTTAGAGAATAGTTGAGTATGACCATCCAATGTAGATTGTTTCATCTTTATAAAGCCAGGATTGAAGTTCAAAAAGGAGTCAGAACCTTTTTGTTTCGATGCTGCAAATTTTGTTTTTGAACATTTCATGAATTGAAAGGTGGTAGGCGGTACACATTCATTGAGTTTTTTCTCTTCTATCTGTTGCAGGCGCTGAAGTTGCTGTTCTTTGCATCACAAAATCTGGCGAAGTTGTCAACTACCAAGCATTTACAAACTCCAGGGGGGTATACAAAGTTGCTGAGACGATGCCCGAGAGTGATCGCTGGGACGCTTGTCTTGCGCGTCCGATCAGCAGTTTCCATGAGCATTGCACTCATCTCGGGGGTGGCACTGCTGGCGTCAAATTTAGCTACAACCATCCATCAGGTTACTTCCATACCGTTAGGCCCTTCGTGTATCGCCGCGTTGATGTTCCAACATATTGTTGATTGTGCTTGGTTTTTAAAGGGGGGAAAAAAGAACAAACCGTTGATGTAAAGGTTGCTGGTACTGCAACTGCTATAGGAGTGCAGATCTGTATGCACTGTCTCATACTATACCGCCGAAAATATAAGATGCTTGGTGATATTCACCCAGATGTACAGGTTGCATGCTACGTGGTCACGGTGATCGCTGTTCTGTTTAATCTTTGAGGCGCGGGAAGCAAACGACAGGTAATGCCATTTGGCGAAAATAGCACTTGACAGGAGGGAAGTTGTATTCCTGTAGTTTTTAAGGCACAAAGGTGGCCAAATAGCATGCCACAATCCTTAATAATGTGCGAAGCCACCAAGATCTTTTCCATTCAAATACTAGGGATGAGCATGGTCTCGGTCTAACCCGAGGACTGGACCGGACTGGACCGAATCAGCTGGTTCTGGACAGTTTTTGAAAGAACCAGTTTTTAGATCGGAATTGGACTGCCTAGGGCGGTATCCCGAACTTTTTTATTTTCTGCTCTTCTTTCTAAGTAACTTGAAAACCCAAAAACCGTAGCCTCGTCCTCCTTGCACGATCCTCCTCCGCTCGATCTCTGCTCTCTCTCTTAGTTGCCTCATTGCAATCGCTCGTGGCCTTGCCGGGTGCAGTCTTGCCTCAGGCCTTCCCTCATAGTCGTAGCCTCATCTCCAGCCCTCCATCGCGACATTGCAATCGCTGCCCTCTTAGTCGCCTCAATCTCTGCTCTTCCTTCACCCCTCCCTCACAATCGCTCACGGCCTTATTAGTTGCCTCCGCCCCTCCCTCGCAATCGTGGCCGCGCCTCAGGCCATCACTTTCGTGGCAAGGGAACCGTGGATCTCATCTGCATGTATTATGTCTTGATATTGAAAAAAGAAAATACGGCCGGTTTCGTCCAACTCGAAAACCGGACCACAATCCATTGGTTCGATTTCTGGCTCCATGGTGGAAACTGACCCAGTTTGGAACCGATCACCTCTATCAAATACCAAGTTAGAGTCCAATGCCTAAACCTCAAAAAGATGTCATAAATTTCACATTCAGCTAATTAATGCCGAAAAACTTCAATCCTCATAAAATGAAAAAGTGACGTGAACAACAAATGAAATGAAATGGAATGGATTAAA